TTTAATTTTATTACAAAAAAAAATTCTATCAGTATTTTGTATATCAGTATTGCAGCGGACTTGAAAATATATCATAAATTGTTCGGACTAAAAATATGTGATTATATGCAAATGCAAGCACTCTCTCGCACATGCATATACACGCTTTTGACACTTACAACGTGAAGACTTTGTTCCACTCTGGGTTGAGGTTTTTGTACACGGTGTGTGTCTGTAACCGATCGTTGCTGAGCTCCACTACACAGAAGGGGTCACTCTTGCCTGTGAGGGACACACACACACACACACACACACACATTAACTTTATCAGTTTCGTTGTATTTACTGTGGTGTAATCCACTGGGTGGTGCGCTGGGGGGAAAAACTACCTGATAAACGTGATGGGACAGCGAGCCTGAAGGGCTGGATCAAACCACACTGCTGTCTTTACCCGAACTAAAGCTTCAGCAGCAACTTATCACTGTGGAGCTGATTTGATATATTCATTTTGCCCCCATGTGGAGTCGTTTCCTGTTGTTACACCGATACAGTGGTTTGCACACAGGTAGATAAGCATTTCAGCCTTTGCTCTGCCCTAGAGCACCGTGAGGACATCTCTATCCCCGTCTGGTGTGAACACACACACACACATAGCTGGTCGCAGACGGAGGACAGAAAGGAATGACGAATTAAATACATATGGACTGAATGTGGGAAATTTGTAGAAAACATTCTGGGTAAAATATATGGAGATCATTGTAGATATTATCATGAGGCTGTTTCCAGTTGCTGACAGGGCATTCATATTGATAAATTAAAATGTCTTGAAGTGAGACACTTTTTAATAATCCTTTTTATCAATATATTTTTTAAAGTTCAATGGAATTATTATAAGTCATGTACAAAATATATTATTATAAGAAGTTGACTCTAGAGACATTTATATAATCCACTGTCCTACATGCTTTGAAATAAGCTAATTATATACACATGTAAATAAATGTTCATAATTTAAAGGAATATTGTTCTCAATGAAAACTTGAACAACAAACTCTTCATATCAGCTTTGATCTAAACTTTTTTAATCATTAAACAAAGCTCTAAACAAAACAATTGGGAGCACTTTTGTTGTTTGTTGCAGAGCATCATTTCTAAAAGCTGGGGCAAAAAATAACATCCATAATGGTAATTTTATAACGTGCTGCAAAGTTAAAATGCAGTATAAAATAATTCACTTTCCTGCATGTGAATAAAAGAAGCAAAGACATTTAGTTGACAAGCAAAATAAATGTCACAGTGATCAATGGAAAGTCCTTGCTGTCACCAAGCATATCAGTTTGAGGGGTATATTGATCAGACTGCATATATTTTTAATTCACTTTTTTATTATTTAAATGCAGTGATTACACTATCATGTGTCTGATATAATAAAATAAGTTGACTAAATTAATTTTACACCAAACATTTTCATGGTGTAGTAGAAATAAAATCAGCAAAACAAGCTACAGAAATTCAGTTAGGAGATAAAATTATGGATTCAAATGTTTATTTATTTTGTTAAAAAAAGTGTTTGTAAAAATAAAAAATAAAAAAACTGAATTAAATCATCTTCCTAATTTCAATCACTCATTTACAATATATTCACACAAACATTTAAATTGCCGTGACTTCCTGTAATTGTGAGTATTTTCATCATTCAAAAATAATTTGCATCTGCTTGAATGTATATTGAAGGGCGCAGGAAAGTGAACCATCCTATTCAATATCCTCGCAGTGACACTCGGTCATCCTCTGCGACAAACTACTACGTGTTCGCGAGGCAGCTGTCTGAGCAAATTACACGCTTCGCACTGAATGAAACTTTGACTCCCCAGGTGTGGCCGAGCAGACGCTATCTGTGGGTTAATTCTGGGCAAATCCTCACAGACCAGCGAGATGAGTTCAACCTCATTCTGGCTGCAATTTGATGAGCGTGCGGCACGCTGACGTACAAAACGGTAATTACATTTTTCAGGTCTGGAAGGCGTTTTAAATGAAATGCAGGAACGGTGTTAAGCAGAAGTACCTGCATGATGAGAGGAGCATTTAACCGCCCATAAGATTATCATATACAAACACACTGATGGCAGCAAGGGCAGAACAGTTCCAACTGTTGTTTGAAAACTGATTGTTAATGAAATTGCCGACTGCCAGAGTAATGCCTGCATCCAAAGCGATCTATGTGAAGTATTGAGTGGTTCTATTCAGAAGGAAAGCAGTCTCCTGTCCCTAAATACTGTTGGTTTTACACACTGTCACCATTTATCCTGCTGGCCTGGAGTGGAGGCACTCCAGATAAAAGCCTCAATTAATTACAATGAAAAACAGACAGAAAGGAGGGGTGGGACAAAAAAAAAACACATTCGGTGATGCAAAAAAGAGAACTAAGATTTCCCTCTTTTTTTCTTTTTCTCTCGGCCACATTATCTTTTATGTTCACTCTCCTTGCCTTCCACTTTTCCTGGACTCTCCCTGTCTCCAGTGAGCTCTCTATTAGAGGAGGCACTGTTCCGTGGCCCGTAACCTTGTTGGCTGACACCTCGGTGCCAGGGCCGATTGAGACGGCGAGTCCGTGAGCGAGCCGGGGCTCTTAGAAAAGCTTTGTGCGCCGGTGCTTTGTGGCGGGAGAGGAGTGTGAAATCAGAGCTCATGAGGAGGCCACGGTTCCCCTGGGAACGCCAGACCGAGCTACGAGGTCAACGTAGTGGGCCGGACCCCCAGAGAGGAGCGAGTAAAGGGGCGATTGCAGAACTGTGCAGCAAGCGGGAAGGGGGAGGCTGAAGGGTGTGAGAGGGGAGGGGAGGGGGTGGTCTGCCATTGAGCATGTCTTAATTAAAGGCGTCGATTAGGCGATTACAGAGATGGCAAACGCAAAGCGCTTAGCGGAGAGGAACCTCGCGAGATGCTCCACCTTAAGAGTGACGGTGCTAATGACCTCTACGTCTCTGCCTCTAATTCTCTCTGTCTCTCACTCTCTCCCTCTGTCTTTTCGCTCTTTGTCGCTCCTGTTTATTTCTGCCGCCTCACACCTTGTCTGCAACCGATTGTGCAGCCTTGATTAATATTCTTGTGCTGCAATTCTCAGCTTTGTTTCCCACACAAGTGGTCAAATCAGGACTGGCGGTGCCTGCAAAATCTTTAAAGCAAAACAAATATTTTTCAGTGTTCAATACTTTTAATAGTCCCAAACCCACGACAATGATGCTATCTGTTTGTCTGACCAGTGGTAGATGATTTGAAGTATTTGAGATGAACCATTATATTTGCGATTCTGTTTGATGTCATTAGTGGTGCAAAAATTACATTCTTCATCTTTAAAGAAATAATTCACTTAAAATGAACATTCTGCCATCATTTAATTACAATGTCTTTCCAAACTGGAGTGACTTTCTTTTTAGTGTCTAACACAAATGAAAATACTTAGTAGAATGTTCAAGCTGTTTTTTATTCTATAAAATGAAAATGTGGCAAACACTGGAAAGACAGTTTTTTAGATACTGTAGCTCCTTAGTGTTTAATGCAAGAAACAAACTCATGTGGGTTTGTAGCGACATGAGGATGCATAAATTATTTCATTTTATTTTGGGGTGAATTACACTACCATTTAAAATTTGGGGTAAGTTTTTTTTTTTTTGCTCACCAAGGCTGCATGTATTTGATTGAAAATACAGTAAACATAACATTAAATATTATTACAGTTATTATTAAAATAACCATTTAAAACAGTTTAAAATGAATAAATATCTATTTATCTATTTTAATATTTTTATTTTAAAATAGATTTTATTCCTGTGATGGCAAAGCTGAATTGTCATCAGCCATTACTCCATTTTTCAGCACCTTCAGAAATTTTTTCTACATTCAAATATGATTTCTACTCTTCAGAAATCAGTGTAATATACTTACTGATGTGATGCTTAGTAAACATTTCTTATTATTATCATTGTTATTATTGTTGATGAACAGTTGCACTACTTATTTCTGTGGAAATGTTTCATGATTCTTTGATGATATATACTGTATATATAGATATAAAAATGGCCTAGCGACGCCCATGCTTTGATGAATAGAAAGTTTAAAAGACCAGAATTATTATTAATTTTTTCTTTAAAAAAAATTACTTACCCCAAATTTTAGAATGGCATTGTATTCCTTTAAAACTGTTAAAAGTCACATAGAAATATCTTATTTGAATATAACACACATAAGCTGAGGAACAACTGATGATTCAGTTGCAATGAGGTCACAGTTTCCAGGAAAAACGGCCAGAAAAAGAACAAAAAAACAAAAGCTAATACATTTAGATGCATTTTAATTCAGTTGTAGCATTAATAAATGACCCAAGGTAAGTGTGTTTGTTAATGTCTCACTCCGATTCGGAATAAGAATCAACTCACTACATCGTCTCCAATCTTTTTTTCAACTTGATAATTTATAGTGCCAGAAACTAGGCCTGTCCACTGCAGACCTAATTAAAAGTAAGAATGAATGGACACTGGAGCAGACGCACAAGAAAAAAATATGTTTAAGAGACACAGTGATCTCAGAAGCCAGCGATCCATTAGCACAGAGCAGAATGCAATATTATCAGCCTCCTGCTGACCATTCCAAGGGAAATTATAGGCTTTATCAGTAACTGCGGAAAACAGAGTGAGAAAGCATATGTCAGGATCACTGTATGTGTGTGTGGGAGGGTTTTTCTTACCTGTAACATCAGCTGCCATCAGCCCCTCCGCTCGGATCACCTTCACCTGCACCATGCCCACGTCTTTAATATTGTGAAAGGATCTGAGCAGATTCTGCGGAGGTCAAAGAAGAAAAAAGCATTTGAAAAGTATAAGTAGCTCCATATCCACACAGCTGAAGAATATACAGTGGTCCAAAGAAGAATTGTAACACTTAAATTACTTTACAATGTATAATGTTCACTGCATACAATGACAAAATAATAAAGAAAGAGACATCTGCAAACAAATTACGCTAGACCTTTTCTTTGAACTGAAAACTGCTTGTGTTTGTGCTATATATCATTAAAATACATTAAATGACACTTTGTACTATATGAAATAAATATGAAACGATATTCCATTACATAATGCAAAGACATTGAACATTTTTAAGTGTGGCGTTAGCATTTAAATACTTTCTGTATATACTTTGTAAGCTTTAGAAATGCACTACTTACTGAAATAAAATGATATAAATATGAACCAACCAGCAATCTGTCTACATTTGTGATAAAGGAATATTGCGTTGTTTTAAATCAGTCATAGTTGAAACTTTATAAACCTGTTTAAGAAGCCAAGATTAATCCTTACACATGATCTAGAACAAATACAGATACACATACAACACAAATGCTTATAAAAAGTAAAATGTGGTATTTCACATGAGTGAGAAGAGGGAAAAAATATAATAAAAACTAATTAAACAATGCTGATGTCAAATCTAAATTATGTCAGTTCTCTTCCAGAGTGCATGTGTCTATACTCACATCCATGATCCTCCGAAAAAGAATTTCTTTCATTTTCAGATAACCATGTGAGCAATTAAACGCAAAGGAAAAACAGAAAATACTAGCAGAGACGCCACTAAAACTGTAAATGTTCGGGAGGTGGATAAACTGCTCAAAGACAAGTGCATCAGCAAAGACACTTAAGCATGATTTATGAGCTAGTCAATTACGCTCATACTGATAAAAGCCTCTCATTGAGAGACCATAATACTCCATTACAGTTCCTTTGTGTGTCTTTTGTAGCATTAAAGGGGCTGACATTTAGCCATGAAACAAACTAGGCACCACACACTAACTGTGTGGCCACAGCATAAGCAATCTCTCTCTCTCCCCCGACTCGTTTTTCTCCTCATTTTATAGTGTGTACAGTTTTGTCAAACAAAAAGAATAGCAAAAACATGCCTAGTAATTAAATATCTAAAAAAAAAAAATAATAATGAAATAGAGAGCAAACAGTCTTTTGCTTAGGATTTTTCTTCTGAGAAAAAAAAAAGATCCTAGTATTGATTATATCTAATCTGGAGGTTCAAAAGAGATCTCAACAACAACAACAAAAAAGAATCTAATTTAGAAAAAGAATTTTTTTCTAAAATAGAATTATATTTCATAGCTCTAATATATCAAAATTGTAAGGTATAAACTATTATTCTAACAAATATCTTAATTATTTATTTGACTTTTTCCTAAGTTAAAAGGGAACCAAAGCTGAGAAATCTCCTGCTGAGCTATAAAAGAGCAACCTCAGAGAATTAAAGCTTTCCGTGTCTAATAAATGCACAGTAATGGAAAGCTGTCCATTAAATTGAATAAAATATGTCTGTACATCTCTGCCCTCTATATGGACCGCAGTAAAAGTTGTCACAAGCAAAACTTGTGACATTTCCAGACGGACACTTTGAAATGCGAGTGAATGCAGCTGGACTGATAGAGATGGCACAATCTCACTGGTGTGCCATCAAAAGCACTGGAGACCTCACTTTAATTCTCTTTTTGGCAATAAGCCCTACACATACCCAGAGGAATAATTATAATTTGAATTTCTCAAGTCGGGGCCAGACTGCAGACTTAATTCATTATACACTCGGACTGGCTTTGCCTGTTACGAATGATATTATTGTTGAAAATCCTCTGATAGCAAAGGAGTGGAGAGGGGAAAAAAATCAAGTGATGACTGAGGGGGGAAATTTATTTTTACACATACATTCAATACATGATTTCTAAGTAGATATCAAAGGCTTGTTATTTATGATTATTGCAGCCTTGAATAAAAGTGACAGAATTTTTGGGGAGGGAGCTGGTGCATTTCCATAGCAGAGGAATTTCAGATTTGTAAAGGGTGCTGGCTTTTCAGACCCCTCAAAAGACAGGCAAGGAGATTGAAAAGCTCAGGAGATGAGGCCTTTTTATTTTTTTAATGAAAGGCTGAAGAATATATTTTCCCACCCCCCTCGACTTTGGGGCCGGCAAGGCCAACTCATATGGTACGCTGAGGAGGAGAGCGGTTTAGTCCCATTACAGGAAAGGGGTAGCGCATAAACACTTGCGCACACACACACACACAGAGCCCCTTCTAACCCCCAACCAGACAGTAGGGACCGAAAAGGGAGAGAAGGGGAGGGGTGAGATGGCTGGGCTGTGTCTTGAGTGACAGCTTGTCACCGTGACGTCTTATTCCATCTCTGTTGTGGAGAAAATGAATGTCACCGCGCAGAGCCTTATGACTCGCTGTCATCTCGCAGGCGCTCACCTTTTATCAATGCTCTAAATAACATTTCAAGCCCACCGTCTCCAGCCGGACAATCCGGTCAGGGGACATTAAATCGGATGACTGTGAAATGTCATAATAAAAATGGAATGCTAACAGCTTCCACCCCCACTCTTCCCTGCCTCCCTCTTTTGCTGCTCTCTCACTCTTTTCCTCCTACTTCCCGTCCTTACACACACACATTGCTGTACTTGTTCACATTTTGATTTGGAAGCGAGTGACAGGACCAGAGAGGAACTGTGCGCCTCCACTTCAGCAGAGGTCACCCTGGCCCTGATGCCCATTAACGTCCATTACACACGAGTCGCCCGCACACGCCCGGCAACTATTAAAATGCATAATTTCTCTCTGCTTACAACAACAGCTGTGAAGCGCTGATACAGTCCTCCTCTCTGGGAATATTGAGAAATAACTGCTTAAAGACTGAGATCCGTGAGCTCCGAAAAAGATGCAATCGTATTTGAGGCTTATCTTTTTCATGTTTTTTTTAAATCGAGAAGGACTAAAAGAATGGGATTAAATGCAAATCTATGAATAGAAAAGAGATTTAATCACTAAAATGTTTCTGAAACACAAAGGCTAACATTTACAGTTATATAGTTACTAATTAATTCACATTTATTAATGTGACTTAATGAATACATTTTATTAAAATTATTTCTATTATTATTATTACTATTATACTAGTGTTCATTGTAAATTCATGTCAATGAATATTTTTTATAAATTAATGAACATTAATACATTTTTTATTATTATTATTATTATTATTAATTATATTGTTCATTGTTAGTTTAATTATTAGTTTATGCATTTATTAAATGTAAAAAATGCATTGCTATTATTATTGTAATTATTATTATTACTCTTGCTATTATAATATTGCTGTTAGCTCATCAATTACTAGTTTTATGCAAGTAAATAAATAAATACATTCTGTATAATGCTGTACAAGTATTGTTCATTTTTAACTATTGCCTTAATTAATTGCACACATACAACCTTACTGTAAAGTCTAACTAGTTTTTACCAGTCTTATACATATTTATCGTGCGCACACAGAAAAATAAAGCCAATTCAACTTTAGGCAGATATGTCTACATAAATTAAAAACTTGCACGTTGTAATGCTCGTGAAGTAAATGAAAAGAGCTGGAGATGTGACATGACGTACTGAATGACAGGTAGACGACAACAGACGTCTTCATTCTCTGCCATTAACACACCTTGACAAGGTTCCCGGGCCCACACACCCTATATGCAAAGTGCTGAAAGTCATCTGATATGCCTCCTCCACTTTAATGATGTATCTGAGGCTGGTGCAGTGCTGCATTAAAAGACTTAATTGCATTCTGTGCAACCCCCCCACCCCATCCCCCATCCCCGGCAAGTGAGGACATCCACAGTTTAAATTGGGAGCATCTGCAGTTTCACAGCATCTCTATAACTCAGACACACCCCACACCCCCCACCCCCCAAACCTCATGCTCTTAAACACTTTATTTGTTTGGAAGACATCAGCAGCCTCCTAGCACTTTAACACAGAGAGTTGATAACTAGTTATGGGCGTTTTGTGCCGCAATTCAGTTATCCTCAGACAGCTGATCATATGGCGATAGAGAGGAGAAAAACGTTGGAAGCCCACACTCTCGCACTGGCCCTGTCTATCTTGCATATGGGTGGACCACCACCTTGCCCGAGCTAATCTGTTTAAGGCGTATTGTGCGGCACTAACACTGGCACTTTCTGTTATCTGCCACGCTTGATAAGGTGCATCTTTATTAAATTCCCTTCTGTGAACGGGTGTCAAGAAGGGAACCGGGAATATGCTAATAGCAGGGACAAATTAATGTCCTTTTTTTTGGAATCCACTGTCCCATCCTCCATTTAGCCCCCCATCTTCTCTTGAGCATATCTGTCCCTATCAGACTGCAGGCTAGGGTGCTAATGAATGCCTGGATGCATAGTACAAGGTGGGGGAGAGGGTGGGGAACGAGGGAGTGGAACATCAATACTTTACCACTAGAAAAAAAAGACTGGTGTTGTGCAAGGTGAAATAGCTTTTCATTTCATTTTGCACACCAGCCCCTCCCATCTCAGCGACCAGTACCCCATTTTTCCCCCCTTTCTTATTAGAAGACGGAATTTTCTCCTTTCAATTCTGGTCCAACAGCTCCCCCTAGTGGACGTGGGGTGACAAGGTGGCGTCGGAGAGCACGACGGCACTAACTCGTTATATGCACGGTTATGTAGGTCACCTGTCCGCCGTTTGGCCTGTGGAGTGTTTTCCACCGGTATTTAACCGAAGATCAAACACACCTCCCAGCACGACTTTCCTCTTGAATTAGAGCAAAGTATTGTGCACAAACCTGCTTCGCCAAGAACCAGGTTAGCGAAACACGCTGTGCCCGCAGAAGCAAACCTAAACATGCTGGGGCTCTTAAAACAGTCACGATTCAAGAGCTGTTGCGTTACCCCCGAGAGCAGCTGTATCGAGTGTGAACAAAAAGTGGCCCTTTTGTTTCAGCCCTGTCCCTCGCTATTGGCATGTAAAGAGGTGGCGGAGAGCCACAAATAGCGGCAAACGAAGGGTTAACAGACTAAAGACAAAGCAAGATTCTGAGAGCATTGTGCTAGAGTGAGGACTGGAGGGCCTCGGGGCCATGATGGGCCAAAGGCCTCCGCATAGGGACACTGGGCTCCTTACAGCCCGGGCCTTTCAAGAGCACACCCTGCCTGAAAAGAGCCTGTCACAGCCCCCGCTACTGCTCTCCTTCACAGCTCTCTATCCCAATCAGCTCCTCTCTCCCTTTCCTCAGAGAGCGGGGAGGCCCGATCCTTCTCTCTACAGGCCTGAACCAATCTCTGGCCCCCAGAGGTCGAGCGCTTTTCAAAAGGAGGTCATATCGCTGAGGTTCTGCCAGGTCTGAGAACCTGGCTCCAACTGAGACGCAATTCAGCTCCGTCTATGCATATGAGGCACATATACACTGAGAGAGAACATTTCAATACGGTACTTTATCAGAACACTACATTTGATGGGCCGAAAGATGTGTTGTCACTTTAAAACTCTTCCTAGATGACTCTACAGTGACGTTAATTGAGATTCAGTAAACAACTCAATGGAAATCACCTCAAAGGCCGTCTTTTGGAAGTCCTGTTTATGCTACCAACATTTTTTGCTACCCTATTTCACCAAAAAGCCATGTCTATGACCGACATGACCGATTGTTTAAGTTATCGAACACTGGTGTCACTTCAGAGTACTCAAGCACATACCTAATAGTAAAATATATTAAATTTAGCAAGTGTTATGTTGAGATGCTTAATATTTAAACCATCCCAATAAATGAATCATCAGGAACACTTTACTTGAAGCCTTTATGTATAATGCATTATAAAGGGTTATTGAAGGGTATAATGCATTACAATTATTCATAATTTGCATTGTAATACATGTGATACATACAATATCTTGTCGTAAATAATTATAACTGAATTTAAAATGCATAGTGTAACAATGAATTGATAAGTGTTATAATGTATTAACTGTGGTTACAATTATTCATGAGGTGCATTACAAGGCATAATTAATTAATGCATTAAAACTACTTTTATAATGCATTATACATAAATGATTTAAGTAAAAATTTACTTCTGGGATTTAAGACCTAACTTTAGAAGGCTATTTACGCACATTTTTAGGATTTTTTTATGAACATTCTTTTTAGAAATTCAAATTCTTTAAGTTTTTTTTTTTCCAGAACAATTTAGGAAGACAAAAATAAATTTTTTGAAGAATGTTTTTTGGGGGGAATAAAAAAGTTTATTCTTTATTCTTATAACTTTATTCTTAAGGTGGAAAATAAGAATATAGCAGTTAAGAAGAATGTTAAGAATTATTTTTTCCTGAATCTTGCCCCTGGTTTTTGGTGACTAAAAAAAATACAAATAAAATAAGAGTCTTTGCTATACCAAAGAAAGGTCTATTCACACCCAACCTGCATTTTCAGGTTGTATTTTTAAAAACCAAGCAAATGGAATTTGTATTGTCAGGTGGAGACAAGGGAGTTTCCATTGACTATTGTTTTATACTGAGTAATGATATTTTCTATCCCTAACTCTCACTGATTTATACTGAGCTAATGATCATTTCTATGCCAAGCAATTTAGGCACATTCAAAGTGTTCTGAATATGAGAGTTTGTCCTTACGTATCTGTGGAGAATCTCCTTCCTCTCATGGGGGTCGTCCAATACATTGACGGACAGGTCAGCGATGGAGACGGCAGCAGAGGCTGTGAGAGTGACCAGCAGCACCAGTGTGCCGTCACCCTCCTCCAGAGGCAGGTCCAGCCTGTGTGTGCACTCCTTTGAGAGAACAGAGAGGTCCACCTGGCATCTGACAGACACACACACACAACACCATCATCATTATCATGTTGTTTTACAGGATACCACATGACAAGAGAAAGACACAGCAGAAAAGAGAAAAAGAAACCTAAACAAAATGCTCAATGAATGGGTGTTTCTTTAACTGCGGGCACTTCTGACCCTGTGGACATTTAAAAATAAAATTCCTTAAAACACTGTCATTCTTTCTTTCTTTATTTTGTTCTCTTGAACTGTCAAAAACATAAATGTAATTTCCACCACAACTCAAAACCTTCATTTTGTGATGGAAAATACATTTCTCTTATAAAATGTCGGCCTCCTTTTCTATGCTGAGGCTAATTTTATTATTGCTAGCATTTTGTGTATCTTAAATACACAATTAAAAGACATTTTTTTACTTTTAGTACAATTTGACAAAATTACACTTTGATTGGAAATCACACATCTCTTATTTGATCTTAAGCTCCTCACTGACTCTCATCTCCTCCGTAAACAAATATACTAAGTTGGTTGTTTTAAAAATGTCAGCACAACAAACTCAAACACTCTGTAAATGTGAAGTTTAATGGTGATAATTACACCTAAATGTGTAGTGGTCATGACAATTTTTTTTTGCCACAACACAGCTTTGCTCATAAATATTTATGATCAGTTATTAAATTAGTTTGTTTGAATATTTTAATATGATTTCTGGCTGTTTTGATAAAAGATCTGCATTACGTATTGATTCTAAGAGTAAATATTTAGCTAATTTCCAAGTCAAAACTGGAATTGTATTTATTATTTATTTATTTATTGAATTTATTGAATTTAATTAATTAATATTTTTACTCAGCAAGAACAGATTAAATTGGGCTAAATTTAAATTAAATCAATTTAAAATAAACAATGTTCTTTTCAACTTTCTATTCGTTAAAGAATCCTGAAAACATTTAGAACAGTTTCTACAGACATAATAAGCAGCACAACAGTTTTCAGCATAATACCACTACTACTAATAATAATAATAATAGTGACAATAATAATTCATGTAGTGTATATCAGTATAATATTATGTTGGAACTGTAAATAATACTCATTTTAATGTGATTACTCTTAATAATAGGTAAAGCAATCCAAATATATTATTAGTATATCAAATATTTGAGTTACATTCAAATATCTTTAAAAAAAAAATCAGAAGTAACTGATAACTTTTTAACTTCCCCCTGGTAACAACAAAGAAGAAAAACCAAGTGCATGAGGCAGAAAGAAACCACAAGAGAGAAAACGGCTGAATAATTGCACTAGAATACAGTTTGTTCCCAGCAATTCCTTCACATGTTCCCGCTGTGACAATGTGTTCTTCTCTACAGGAACATCATGCAGGTACTGAAAGCTTCAATTGATCTTGAATGGAGTAACTAATGTGGAGATCAGTGCTGGGGCAGGCTGGGGCACGCTGGACAACTCATGGTCAGAGAGGACTCAAGTAGATGAGCATTTAACAGAGGGAAATAGCCAATTACAAGAATGCCACCCGACTGATTCTGACATGCCACCTCTATTACCAGGAGGACTGGTGTAGGGAACAGACAGGAAACTAAGTAAAGTCCACTGCCTCATTCCCACATCGCACAGCCATTAACTCTACTGTCAATCACTCCTAATGGGGTTTTGTCAGAGGCTGCGATTCTCAAACTCTCTCCCTCTTTCACCCTCTCTCACACACACACAGGAACTGTCTATGAGAGGACAGTTTGAAGAATGAATGACTTTAGCTGCAACATACCGTACAGCAGACCTGTTATTTAACAGTATTATACTTGTAATTGGTCAATCACAGCATTTTGCAGTCAAAT